GGTCTGGTCTTCTCACTTCCTCTCTGTAGCTGGTCTGGTCTTCTCACGTCCTCTCTGTAACTGGTCTGGTCTTCTCACTTCCTCTCTGTAGCTGGTCTGGTCTTCTCACTTCCTTCCTATAGCCGGTCTTCTCATTTCCTTAATCATCTACCACCTTCTTAATTTTATTGCAGCCAACTTTCCATGCTCTTTTCGTTGTTGTTGTTAGCAGAAAGCTCTTCCTCACAAATCATGAACAGTTTCTCTTGTCTGTTATTAGTTCCTTTATTATGTTACCTACAACATTCACATCTATAATTCATTTGGAATGATTTTTTCACACAGAATGATTCGACAACACAGTTTTAATTTTTTTCCCAACTAGCTACTCAATTGGCACAACAGGCTTTAACCACACTCATTAATTCTAAGAGTTCATCTGTTTGGTTTCTAGTCTGTCACCATGTTATGACAAGTAACTGTTTTTTATCTTCTTACCCAATTATCTTTATCTTAGTCATTTTTATCTTTATCTTTCTTATTTCTATGGCTAAGACCTCCCATAAAGCATTAAATATAGTTTTGTTTTTTCCTTTTTGAGTTGCTGTCATACACAGCAGACAAGTGCTCTACCATGAAAGTAAACATGCACCCACACTGTCATTGAACACAGTTTTTTTTTTAAGATTTATTTATTATGTACACAGTGTTCAGCTTCCATGTATGCCTGCAGGCCAGGAGAGGGCACCAGATCTCATTACAGATGGTTGTGAGCCACCATGTGGTTGCTGGGAATTGAACTCAGGACCTCCGAAGAGCAGTCAGTGCTCTTAACCTCTGAGCCATCTCTTCAGCCCCTCACTGAACACAGTTTTAATTCAAGCAGTAAGTCTATGTTCACTTGGGTATGCTCAGAAGTCTGTTATTTATTATTCTTATGAGTAGTTTCTCTTCTTTCTTCCCCTTTATTATTCTAATTCCCCCATTTTGTTAGCTCAGTAGTTATAGACCCTCTTCCTGGTCTACTAGTAGGAACAAATGACAAGTATAAACTATCAAAGTCTAAAATTATTCTCTATTTTATTCTCTTCTTCAACAACTGAAGATCCTTAGAAATTAACTCCACTTACTACCCTCCCAAGCTACATCGCTGTTAATCCCACAAACATGATTTATTGATTGCCTACATATTTACCTGTCCATTGTTCTTCATTACTTCCTGATAGCTCTGAGCTTCCATCTGGAATCATTTTCCTTCTGCCTGAAGAACTCCTTTTAGTTTTTCCTTTAGTGAGGGTCTGCTGGTGACAAATTCCCTTAAATTTTGTTTTCTGAAAATATTTTTATTTTACTTTACGTTTAAAGGTTATACTTATTGAGTAGAGAATTCTAGGTTGGCTCCCACTGTTTTCTATCGAATTCTCTCCACTTGGTCTAGGCCCATTTCTTCACTGCCTTAGTAGTTTTCCAGCCTTGAGATATATATATATATTCATATTCATATATGTGTGTGTATATATATATATATACACACACATATATGTGTTTTCCAAACTTTCAAAGTAAATATAAATTATCCTGACTGTAATCAACAGAATGTTTTAAAAGGCCAATTTAGTGCAAGAGTGTCCAAATGAATAAAAGTTATTTTAAATGTTAGGCCAAAAAAAATATTTTTACTGAATAAAACCTGTAGTTAAAGAATTAATGTTTCACATTTGTCAAAGGTTCAACAAGTCCAGTCATGTAATGAAACAATTTATCAATCATAAGAGAAAAATAAAGAGACTTTATTTACTTTCTGCCTCATGTTTATGACCAGCATTAAATTTTTTTTTTGAAAAAGGATAGAGGGGTTAAAAAAACCATAACAAAAACTTTTTACAATGAAATTAATTGATTCCTATTAGATAAACAAGACAAATGCTACCACATAGAATTTTTACATATTAACAGGTATCTTAGATATCATCTAAGATAAAAAAACAGTTCAGCATTTACAAAACCAGAATATCATTATAAATTGCTTCACCTAAGACACAATTATAGCTTAGACCCAGAAGCAAAACTTGAGACACTTGTCAGAAAACAGTAGCTATTGCTACAATGAATACTTGTATCAAAATATATACAATGGTTCATAAAACTCTTCCAATAAAAATAGAAGGGAACACTACTCAATTCAGTCTATGAAACTGTTATTACTCTAATACCAAAATGACACAAAGACACCACAAGAAAGTCACAGACAAACACTTCTTACAAATATATATGTAAGTATCTTCAGAAACTTAACAAAGAAAACCCAGCAATATGGAAAGAGAACTAACTGTGTGCCACAGCCAAGTAAGATCTATCTCAGGAATGTAAGATCAGGAGGGACTGCACACTGACCCTGACCAAAACTAGCCCAAATCATAGGCTTTACTTCTAACCCTAATATGACTAAAAAGTTGCTTAAGGCATCTAGTAGTCCTATGTTTTATTATGGCAGCC